CTGAGTATATTAGGCGTCACAAACTGAGTATATTAGTTGCAAGGCCCTTTTGATATTTATATTCATATTTATATCCATATATATACTCATGTTCATCTCGTTTGAATTTTATTATCTTCACATGAAGATAATGAAGGGAGTTTTTGAAAGTTGAAGCAACTCTAGTGAGCTTACACTAGTAAATGGAGGAGTCAGACTTTAGGTGCAATTTGGTTGAACTTGTGGGCTTGATTCACAATATGAGACTTGATAACTGCTATGGCTTGATGTGTATCTTACAATTCCTGTATTTGAGATGTAACCTACAATGCAGGTGTGCAGGTTGTGAGTTCTCTGCCCTTGTGAACGAGTTAGTGTCATTACTATGAGTAAATAAATTATCATGAAAGTGGATTAATTACAAAAGTGAGTTTGGCTCTTCAATGAGAAAAATAATAACTGTACCTGCATCAGAGTATCTTTCAGAATTGGAGAGTAGGACACTGGGGACATGAATTAAAAATCAGAGCACTTGCCTAGCAAGCTTAGGTCTAGGATTTAAACAGACAGTATAGCATTTGCGAAAGTAGATTCAGAAAATTGAAATTGCCTGCGACTAGAATTTCTTGAGGTCCTCACAGAATTAATTTTACCATCTTTCTTCTTTAAATATTATATAAACTTTGTGCAAACCCTCTTTCAAATACTCCCAACAAAAAGTGACTTAAACTACTCCCCTGAGAGCTAATGATTTAACCTGAGGACAATGTAATTGGATAGCACAATAACACAGACACCTGAGCATAAATAAGCACTATATTAAAAGTATTGTGTACAGACAGAAAGTAAATACATCATTACGGTATTCTCACAATAAAAAAATAAATTAAGGGCTGGGAAGGTGGCTCAGTGGTAGAGCGCTTGCCTTGCATGCCTTAGGCCCTGGGTTCGATTCCTCAAGCACTACATAAGCAAAAAGAAAAAAGCCGGAAGTGGCGCTGTGGCTCAAGTGGTAGCGCGCTAGCCTTGAGCTGAAGAGCTGAGGGACAGTGCCCAGGCCCAGAGTTCAGGCCCCATGACTGGACCCCAAAATAAATAAATAAATTAATTAAATTAAAATTTTTTAAAAAATTAAAAAAAATGTAAAAAAGACACAAGGAAAGGATACCAGTTGGTTCATTGTAGCAATGAGATGTGCAAGACACTCTATCAGAGGGGGGTGGAGGGAGGAGTTGGGGAGGTGTGAAGGGAAGGGATGGTAGGTGAAAAACAAAAGAGGGGTAACAATGCTCAATAAGAAATGTACTCATTACCTTACTTATGTAACTGTAACCCCCCTGTACAGTATCTTTACAATAAAATATATATTAAAAAGAAAGCAAAAAAGAAAGTAAATATATCACAATCCTAAATCAACAAAGTTGGCAAATATGAATGCTGAATATAACTGATGAGACCATAAGCTCTATTTAGAATACTCTTGATTATCAGTAAAATTATTTCAGATTCAGAGTACTGTGTGTGATAAGAGTAGAAGAGGCATGAGAAATGCAGTCTCTGTTGAGTGTCCCTATCTCTCAGCACAATGAGGATCCCAGTAGAAACTTAAAATACAAAGGCTCATGAAGGAATCTGGTACAAATTCTTGTCTGAAGGTAATGAAGTAAATAGTTTATTGTAGTTCTAACTGTGAGTTGGGAGAAAAACAATGCAAAAGGACAATGAAGCCCATTTGTGATTGCCTGCATTTATTTTTCCTGTTTTCTATTATTGTGATTTTTGGAACTGGAGGTTCATGCTCCAGGCCCAAACTCCTGGAATTCTACCTGTCAGGACCAGCCCTCTCCCACCCCCAGCCCATGCACCTCATAAATAAATGACAATGGTGAGGGACTAAGAAATGAAAGACAAAGAAAGGAAATTTGTTTCATGATACAAGCAGCCACAGGAATACAACATTTCAGTCCACTTTGGATACAGACATGAAGTCATAGTATTGAAGAGACAAAGAACTGGGAGAAGGCATGGTCTAAGTATGGTCGGGCTGATCATTATTTCAGTCCTTGTTTAGGGAGAGATTCCAAAGACAGGGTTATCACTGTCATCACTGATTCAGATAAAAACTGAAACTTCCTAATGCTTCCAGTTCCCTGTCATAAAAATGAATCAGTCCTGGCGTTCCTGAAACCCAAGGTGATTGCAAAGGGAGTGCAGAGAAGAGCTTAGAGCAAATAGAGGCAGATAAGGTATGCCAAACTTTCACTTGCTTTTTTTTTTGAGGGAAAGCAACATTTAAGCACCTACTACACTTTTAGAAAGTCAACTAGGCTTCTGAATGTTACATTGGAAGGACTTCTGGAAAACTGCAAATTAATTTATATGAGATAAATTCTGTTATCTAAAATATAACAAAAGTTTTTATTCTCACACACATACACACACACACACACACATACTAGCATTTAGCAAGCGTTTTATTTAGGATAATGTAACTGCTACAAAATGTGATACTTAGAGAAATCAGTTGAACTATCAAGTGATTTACCTTCTAATTTTAAGCTGGTCTACTTTCCTACAGCATTGATATCTATAATTAAAGCCTACATATCTATTTCCATACAGGGTCTCCTGTCAAATATTTCACTTAAAATATACTTTGAAGATGATCTCAAATGCCAAAACTATCTGTCAGGCAAATTAAAATGGAAAATTATTTTTGTGTATAGCATAGGAAATATCAACAATTTTCATAACTTTTAACTCTAAATAAACACCACTGCAAAAGAAATTAGCCAACTGAGAAACTAGTCAGGTCTCAAATTTAACAAGCCATTTAAATTTTATGATGAGTCACTGGGGGATTGGAAGTAAATAAAAATGAATCTACCACATTTCTAATATGTCATCTTGGTTTTGGAGTAAGCATCTTACAAGTGACCATTGACATTTCTAAATAGATTCCCAGGGAAAATACATAAGGACTGTAAGGTCTTCTAGTATTAAAGATGCACATGGAGAATTTTAATGACTGTTTTGATGGCTCTTTTGAGCACTCTGTTATTTATTAGGCCCTGTGATCTAATACTGGGTACAAGAAATATGATCATATGCCATAACTCTCTTAACAAGCTAAACAGAATGGAGATGATTAAAGAAAGAAAGTTAATAGACATAAAGCAGGAAGGGCAAGAAAGTAATAAAAAGTAATGAAGAAAGTAATAAGAACAGAAAAAAAAGAATGTAAGAATATTAGTTGGCATCATTGAGAAATGAGAATGCCTAATAGAGATGCTGAAAAAGCTGTATAGCTGAAATATATCAGAGCTGCTTTCAGTAAAGAAAAATATTAGATGTTATAGTACTGAACAAAAATACAAACAGAAGAGAACCCATGTTGATTAAGCCTATACAAGCTGACTCTCAGAACCACTCACATCAGGAACCTTGTTATGAGACATGAATTTATGGCTCCACACAACATTTATTGAATCACAATTTCTAGAGGTGGGACCCAAGAATCTGTGCTTTAATAAATGTTCCAGGTGATTTCTAAAGAAGACTTAAGACTGCACACTTTTTCTAGAATTATCTTAGTTGCCCTCTACAAATTGTGTTGCTATGGGAAATTTGGAGACAACTTTTTCTGTATTACACAATGGACTTCTACCAGTTTTCTAGAATGCAGGCCTTTAAATTTCTTCTGCCACTCCATGTACTTAGCAGCATTTGGCTTCACTGAATATCTGAAAAGCAAAATAGCATTGGCAACACAAACACAAATAGAGGAGCAAAGCTTCATCACTTGTACGGTATTTGTAATATACTTAATCATGTTTTATATCTGATTGTGTTATGATATCTTGTTATAAAATATAAAGTAGTTTACATTATTAAGCGATCAATTATAACAAGTGAAACATTACCACTTTAAAGTAAATATATTTAAGGGGTTTGAAACTATAGTAACAATTATAACTGAGAGTAATACCTCGGGTTTCTACCTCCACTGTGTCTTTTCCTAAGAATCAATCACTGGCAAAGAATTATTAAAGAAAGATTAATGGAACAAACATCTTATAAAAAGTATTCATCTTACATCATTACGTTCTGATAGCTCTTTTTCATTTTTGCCATACTCAGGATTGGAGCCAGAACCTTGCATATAGTAGGCAAGTGAAACTTCGAATTAAGTAAAGGCATAAACTAGAGCAAGAATTATAACCATGAGTGGAGTGTCCTCTTTCAGAAGGTGACATTGTAACTACAATGGTGGCCTACAAAGAAAAACTTTTCTTTTTAGGGCAGGTATCATTTTATGAACTCACTTCACTTACAAGTTGAGCTTCTGAGTTATTTGTCCATATATCATTATTATTATAATGGGTTATATGGTTATGTGGTTATTTGACTCCAACTCATCTCATTTAATCTTTTTTTTAATCTTTTAAAACCAAATTCATTCTTATATCTATAGAGATTACTAAACACTCTGACATTTTCTTAACTTTTTCCACAAAATGATCACAAAATTCTAATATACTGATTTTTAAAAATTTATTTCCAATTACATAGCCTCTATATTCTGAGATAAAATATAGTAAAAAAAATTCTTTTGTTCTCTATGAGAGCACAAAAATAATGTTCTCAAAGAAATTTTGAATTAAAGATAAAATTATTTATTATTTCTCATAATGAACTTAATGCAATACTTTTTTATATTCCACTATATAAAGCCTAAGTATATATTAACAATATTTGCTTTTAATTTTCTTCTTCAATAGACAAAGAGAAAGACAAAGCCAGAATTTATGTAGTTACTGTTACTGTTTCCATTGGGTTATTTAAATGACAGAAAATCCGAACTCCATTTTGCAATCCATATTCTGGAAAACATGCACATTTTCTTTTTAAAGGACTGTTCTACACGAAAGAAAAAATTCCCAAAGCCTCTGAACTGTTTTTTTTTCTCCTCCTCCTTTGTTACAGGTATCCATATTTTATCTATATTAACCTTTAAAAGCATGGATTTCCTAAACTCGTCCGAACAAAACTTGACCTCAGAGGAACTGTTAAACCGAATGCCGTCCAAAATTCTGGTGTCCCTCACTCTGTCTGGACTGGCACTGATGACAACTACTATCAACTCCCTTGTGATTGCTGCTATTATTGTGACCCGGAAGCTGCACCACCCAGCCAACTATTTAATTTGCTCCCTTGCAGTAACAGATTTTCTTGTAGCTGTTCTGGTGATGCCTTTCAGTATAGTGTATATTGTGAGAGAGAGTTGGATCATGGGACAGGTAGTGTGCGACATTTGGCTGAGTGTCGACATTATCTGTTGTACATGCTCCATCCTACACCTGTCCGCCATTGCTTTGGATCGGTATCGGGCAATCACAGATGCTGTGGAGTATGCCAGGAAGAGGACCCCCAAGCAAGCTGGCATTATGATAACAATCGTTTGGGTTATATCTGTGTTCATCTCTATGCCTCCTCTCTTCTGGAGACACCAAGGAACTAGCCGTGAGGATGAATGTATCATCAAACACGACCATATTGTTTCCACCATTTACTCAACGTTTGGAGCCTTCTATATCCCACTAGTACTAATTTTGATCCTCTACTACAAAATATATAGAGCAGCAAGGACATTATACCACAGGAGGCAAGCAAGTCGCATTGCAAAGGAGGAACTGAATGGCCAAGTCTTGTTGAAGAGTGACGAGAAAAGCATTAAACTGGTCTCCACATCCTACGTGCTAGAAAAGTCTTTATCTGATCCGTCAACCGACTTTGATAAAATGCATAGCACAGGAAAAAGTCCCAGATGTGAGCTCAAACATGAAAAATCTTGGAGAAGGCAAAAAATCTCAGGCACAAGAGAACGCAAAGCAGCTACTACCCTGGGATTAATCTTGGGTGCATTTGTAATATGTTGGCTTCCCTTTTTTGTAAAAGAATTGGTTGTTAATATCTGTGAAAAATGTAAAATTTCTGAAGAAATGTCAAATTTTCTGGCATGGCTTGGTTACCTGAATTCCCTCATAAATCCACTAATTTATACAATCTTTAATGACGATTTTAAGAAAGCATTCCAAAAACTTGTACGATGTCGATACTAGCTTAAAGGAAGTTTATTATGAAAAGGTAGAAGTTCTAGTTTTGTGGAGGGCTACAAAAGAAATGCTAACATATAGAATTATAGAGAAAATATATTGAAACTGCTAAAATAAGAATATAATTTGTTGTTTTAATAGTACCACGAATATAAAATATATTGATTTGGCCATCATTTTAGAGCACTCAAAAATAGGAAATAATTTATGCAGGTTATAAATAATAGTTTTGTCTATGCAATGTACCTAAGAAGCCAATTGAAAAAATATATATGTGTATAATATTAATGAAAATTATTTTCTATATTTATATGTTATAATTACAAAGGAATTTTCAATCAACATATTTCATCCATAATTTTTATATAATCCTATCATTTCATTCTGTAATTATTTTATAGAGAATATATAATTCATTAAAATTTACATAATTTTCTTACATCTAATTACTCACCCCTTCTCCATCTTACCCCAAGCAAAAAGGAGAAGAAGAAATTACAAGGACATTATACCACAGGAGGCAAGCAAGTCGCATTGCAAAGGAGGAACTGAATGGCCAAGTCTTGTTGAAGAGTGACGAGAAAAGCATTAAACTGGTCTCCACATCCTACGTGCTAGAAAAGTCTTTATCTGATCCGTCAACTAGTACTTACTTTGGGTTGAATAAATATAAAAGTCAGAGTTGGCATTGTATTCCACTAGTAAAGAAAATTGCCATAGAATGGATTATATATGGTAAATTAATTCTGAATGATAATCTTATATATACTTAATATGTTCTATTTGTTTGAAAAAATATCATAGCCAGGTATTATCACTTGAATCAAAAGCCTTACCCTAGGAGGTATGGAGAGGGAAGGTGTTATAATTGTCCCTTATTTACCTTGTAATGAAATTATTGCTGTAATTATTTATGTCTAAGGCTTTTTAAATTTCTTAATATATTTTAATGTTAACAAGCTCAATTACTAAACATGTTTTTCTTTACACTTTACTTCCATGCCTTTGACTTGATCCTTTTTAAAATTTTTATTAGCCAAAATATAATGGGAACTCTTAGACCTTTAGTGGCTTCAGAACAATCTGTAGATTTCCAACAGTTAAAAATGGACCAGATTATGAGGGCCTATCACCAACCAAGATGATTTACAAAACATACTCTTTCCTTCCTTTTATAATAATGCTAGAGATAAATTCCTAGTGCTCTACTACTGAGCATCATCTTCAGCGAACACATACCTCTTAAAACTGCAACTTTGTGTGTACTATAAAATGTTCTTTCCTGGTGGGGTGCTTATGAGTATATTATATCATTTTTAATGTAGTTGTGACAAATTACTTTTAATCAAACAAATATGTACAATGCATTTTTCTTTTTACATGTATTTTTATTATAACTATGATGTACAAAGGAGTTACAGTTAAATGTCAGATAAAGAGTACATTTCTTTTTGAACAATGTCACCCATTCCCTTGATGTCTCCTAGTTTTTCCCTTCCATCTCCACCCACAGTTGTAGAGTTCATTTTCAATATAGTGTCTAGTGAGTACCACTGCTGCATTTGTTCACCATTTGTTTCTCCATTTCTGTGCTCCCTCTTACCTTCCTAAAGACAGATAAATGAACCAACAAATGATAAAGAACAGGGCTCACATTTTATATAAGCCATTGGGAATTATACTAGATTGGGATATGAGAAGAAAATATCAAAAATACATCTTTCTATAATATAATCATTCTTACAAAAGAAACAATACAAAATGAAAACTACTATAATGAACAAGGCTGTGACAAGGAAATTCCATAACATTGTTATGATGGTACACAGGGAAAATACATCAGATGTGGTTGAAACACAGCAGGAAGTTTTCAAAAAGCCTGTATTTTGTCAGGCTCAAAGACCTATGCCTGTGTAATTCAAGAAATTTGAGAAGCACCTCTAGAGGAATCATATTCCCAAGCTGACCCAAACAAAAACATGAGACTTTATCTGAAAAAAAAATAATTAAAGCAAGAGGTTTGGAATTATGGCTTGAGTGATAGAAGTGTTTGCCTAACAAAAACAAGTCCTGAGTTCAAACCCTAATACTGAAGAGATTAAAAAGAAGAAGTGTATCTAAAATCATTTTCTGCTTATTTCTCTGTCCCTTTTTACTTAACAAATGATTTTGTGATATATTCATGCAAAGACCTGACAAAAGATTTTTTAAATTAAATTAGTTTAGATCCATCTCAAAAATTCTTAGATTGTGTTAGGAATCTCCAAGAGACACACATCAACAACTCAAAAGGGACAAGTTTCAACCTAGGTGAGGCTGGGCCAAGTACAAACATTGTATCTGTTTTTAGTTGGACTGAAGCTTAAATCTAAAAAATTAATGTCCCATGTGGCAAGGAAATTGCATCATCGTTTCATGATTGGGGAGAATCAACTTTACTTTTCTGAGTGTATAATAATATTTTTTATCCAAAGGGCCACACAATCTATTGGAGTAATTATCACTTTATCTGGGTCGCCTACAGGCTGAGAGAAGAGATCAAGCAACCCATCCTCAACAAATAATGGTGATTTCTCTCTAATATCTTGAAAGGGTAGCTAATACAGGGACTAGTGATCTGCAACTTGTACATTCTTTGAACTTTATTCACTTCACATGAAGTTTATATTCTTTTTGTTTGTTTGTTCAAGTCAAGGACTCAGATTCAGTACCTTATACTTTTGCTCATTAGCTGGTACTGTATCACTTGGCATGCCTCCAAACTCCTAACATACTATAAGTTTTTGGAAAAAAAGTACAAATGATCAAAGCATAGGATTTTACCGAATTTTTTTCACATCTCTAACGTAGTAATCACTGATTATATATTGGGTTGTGAAAAGTAGAAGAAACTATGAACATCATAAAAATGATTAAATATGAGCTTACATCCTACCAGAATTTTTATTTATTTTTTTTGGGGGGGGATCTGGTCGTGGGGCCTGAACTCTGAGCCTGGGTGCTGTCCATCAGCTCTTCAGTTCAAGGCTAGCACTCTACCACTTGAGCCACAGCACCACTTCTGGCTTTTTTCTTTTTACTTATGTGGTGCTGAGGAATCGAACCCAGGGCCTCAGGCATGCAAGGCAAGCACTCTACCACTGAGCCAACTTCCCAGCTCCCTCACTAGAATTTTTATCTAATAGCACAAGAAAATTCAGTAATGTTTGAATTTTAATTTTTGATTCAATTATTTTCAAATGAAGGATGAATAACAAGCAAAGACAAGAAACCAAACAAGAAAAGAAGTTATACAAATAGATACTAAAATCAGTCTAGTACTCAGACATCACTTTGTGCTTAAAAATCCACTTCTGCTAGTGACACATGGTCTTTATTTTAAACTTGGTAAAGAATATAGATCACTGAAGCTAATAGATTTTGTTTTATATTACAGTAAACCCACCAGGCCAAACAATTTATTCATGTATTTGTAGTTGATCATCCATTCTTAAATAAGTCCGTATTTCTTTCTGAATTTCAAAGCAACAATTCTCTTTTCCTTTTTCTGGAAGGCTTGATCCCCAGCCAATCAGCCTATAACAGAACCTATGGCACCATCCTTCCTTAGTTACATCATTATGTCAATAACAAATTAATTCCCTCAGCAAAGCTTAATCTTCATATTCACGGGCTCAATTTTTAATATTGTTTCTCTTACCCATTTTTCTAAAATCAAAACTAAATGAAGATAATTGGTCAGGAGTCAATTACCAGGAAATGTGTTGACTTTCTCTATTAAATAGCATGAAAGTGGAAAAGATTATAAATAGGTAGATAGATAGATAGATAATTGATGAAATGCATTTGTCTGCTTTGAGTATGAAACCATTTTCTCAGGTATTTATACATAACTATTTTTGACTTATAGGTCAGAAAATCCAGTTTACTGAGTTAAAGTAGAAAGGAAATACAAAGGATTTTGTCCATAATATATTCCCAAATCCTTCAAGAATAATCCTGCTTAATTCAGAATGTGTCCATATTAACATAACTTGTTTCAGAAATGTGTTTCCAATGCTTCCTGATAATGAAGATAGTTATTCAGACACTTATTTTCTAGAAAATATTTCTAAAAGCAAATTAATGTTTTGCCATGAATAAAGTAAATATTTCCTTAAGACATTGTGAACATTTCTCTTGGTCTCTGAGCCAATAGGTTCTCTCTACTTATTTAAGATAAGGAATGATTCCTGAAAGAGTACTTTGTCACATTGTAATGTTTCATTACTGGCGTAGAACATAGACCCTACACACAGTGTGCAAGTATTGAAGTCTACCTAGAAAGGACTAAATTTTTCTTGAAGTATCAAAACTTCTGAACAAGTCATAAATGAGAAAAAAACGAAGGAGAAAAAAAGAATCCTATTTTGTCTTTTATCAACAGTCACTATAAATTATATCCAAGCAGACTTTCATTACTATGTTTACATTGGTAAACTCCCTTGAGAAATAGTTTGTCCTTCAGTTTCTGAACAGCATTTGCTGCATATTTTCAAACAGAATATAGACAAAGGAATTCATTTCGTTAAATGCCATTTTTACCAAGGAGGAGGGAATAAGCTTTGCTTCCAATGGTATGTGACCTCTTGTCTTTTGAAATTCTCAAATGTCTAAGCAATTAAAAAAAATAAACCATTTGTGTCAAGTCCCCATTTCTCCTCCTCTATAAGAACATTAAAATGACCTTCTTGGTTCACATGGACAGAGTAAACTTGCTGTCTTCCTTCTTGTGTGTCCCAACATCTTCTCATTTAATTATATTAATATTTCTTAACCATAGACTTAATATTCATCCTTCAATTTTACATATAATTTGCATGCTGTATTATTCTATAGTATGTAATTTGATTATATGGCTGAATCAACTATGTTGAATTTTCCCCAATTCCAACGCTGAAAGAACTCAAACATAAAGAAAAATTTTACTCTAATTCTTCACACACACACACACACACACACACACA